TGAACTTGAGAGATCAGCTGTACAACATTGTAACTACAGTCAACAATAATGTGTTATACACTTAAACTTTATTAAGAGAATAAATCTCATGTTAAGTGTTTTTGCCACTTTAGTTATTCCATATTTGAAAACTCACATTTTAAAATGGAATAATAAAAATGTGTAAATAACCCAAAAGAAAGGAAAAGAAGAACAAAGGAACAAGACGTTGAGGAAATAAACAGAAATCTGTTTATTCAGTGCATACAGAAAACTGTAGACAAAAATCCAAACATAATAATTATATGTAAAATTTCTAAACATAATAATTTAAAAGCAGAGATTATTAGCATGGATTGTTCAATTGACTCAAACTTATTTTTACTAGAGATATGACCTTACAATAAGCATCCTTCAAATATAGTAGGTTAAAAGTAAAAGTGAGATGAAAATATGTTATATGAACATTAATTCGAAGAAAGCTAAAGTGCCTATATAGACATTGGCAAAAGAAGATTTCAGAGCAAAATAATAATAATAATAACCAGGGATAAAGATAAATATTACATTATGATGAAAGGATAAATTTACCAAGAAGACATAACAACCTTAAATGTGTATTTATTTAACAATAACGATTTGAAAACACATAAAGGAAAAATTTACAGAACTGAAAGAAGAAATAGACAAATCCACAATTATAGTTGGATATTTCAATATTTTTCTCTAAGATATCAATAAAACTAGTAACAGAAATTTAGCAAAGATATAAAAGAACTGAACAGCACCACTTAATTAGTATTTTTCTGGACTTACTTGACAATTATAGGATGCTCCACCCAACAACAGCAGAACACACATTCTTTTGATGTGTACAGAGAACTTTCAACAAGACAAACCATATCCTAGATTATAAAATAAAAATTAAGAAGAATTTAAAAATTGAAATCGAAGGAATTCTGGGAAGATGGCCGACTGGTAGCAACCCTTGACAGAGGATCCTGAACAGAGGAAGAAAAACTGGACAGAATTGGACTCTATGAAGCCAAAGTTGGGGAGCTGAGCCAAGAAAGAAGTTTGACAAGATATAACTCCAAGGAAGAGCATTCAAGAAAGCAAATTTTAGGTACAAAGCCTATCAACTAGACCCCTCCCCCAAGCAGGAGGCCTGCCACAGGCTATCTGCAGATGAACAAGGAACAAAAGACCTTTCATTTTACCTCGATGGAGAGAGCCACTAAACTCCAAGTCTCTATCTCTAGGGAAGTCCCACTTATGAACCTAGACCCCACCCCCCCAGGCATAAAATTGAACAGATATTTTCCCCAAAAAGTCCATACTCCCAGTCCACCCTTCCCACTCACTTGGCGGTCTGAAGTTCTGCCCCCTGCAGAGCACGGTGTGTTTGGTTCTGTTCTGAGAGATCTGGGCATAGT